GTAAATAGTATCTTAACATTTGAAACGTGTTTCAACCGGGCGATTTCAACGGAATCAACGCAGAAAATTTGATATTTCGATGGCTTCGTTTAATCCAGACGAATTGGGAAGAGTTGTGGCAAGCGCAGTAGCCACTTTCTTGAGTCATTCACCAGCAAGTTCGAGTGCAAATGCCAATACATCGTCAACATCAACAGCTACAACCTCGGCTTCGTCGACTAGTTCAAGTCGGGCACAGCAAAATACTACTCAGGTTTGTATAAAGATTTATAAATAAATACATTAAAATCAAAACTTCATATACTGCAGCTTATTTTCAATCATCTATTATCGAATCAGACAAGTCACAAGTGATTACAAGATGAATATAAGGATGGCAGGATGCCATTGTCATAATTGTGCAGTACGCACGAGATTCAACATGATATTCGATATGGTGTGAACTGACTCGTTTCAATCACTCAGAAGTAAAAATGAAAAATAGCCATTTCTTCTCTTCCATTTCTGCGCTTGTTCGAATATAGTTTGCTTATCATGTGTATCCGCGCTGTGCTTAATAAATAGTAAAATAACCTGGGGTCAGTTGTTCAAAACTTGGTCTTGGGAGGGGGATTGGTTAGCCTGGTCCTGAACTGGGGACCGCAACAAAGGAGGACCCCAGAAAACTGCTCAGAATGCAGGATATAGGAAAGGAGTTTCAGGGCATTCAAAATAAGCCGGTGGGTGCCGGAGCTCCGGCAGGTGCACAAGGTTTACCGGTTACTTTGTTTAGAACTTGAAATATCAATTCTGCTCTCCTTCCTCCAGTCTGAGCTTTCAAACAAAGTTATTTTTCTTCGAAAACTGACATAATACAGTATTTCGTAAAACTGATTTAGTTATTTGCCATCTTAAATCTTGAAGTTATCTTGTTGAAGAATGAAAGTAATGTCTAATGATAAATTATAATTTGGTTACAGAGCTCAGCTGTATACCCTGAGAGCAGAGCCTGATCTCCCAGACTCTCCTCACAGGGTAAGTTGTGTTGGTATCTAATAAATTTACACGAGTTAATTTGGATGACTTTAAGACCGCCCCTTCCCAACAGCCACCTAGGCACTTTATCAAAACAGACACCTTATAATCAGAATAATTCTGAAAGCCCTGAGTTTATCAATTGTGCCCCAAACGTTATTGAAAGCCTAACCCTTTTAATAACAGAAAGAGCATGTGCTTTTGCCTATGAAGTATTCTTCACAAATATTAATTACGGTGGCATCAGAATAATTAATATCAGATTGAAATAGAACTTGATGCAACTGCAAATTCCTTGCACAATAAGGGGCATCTGGAGTTTTGAAATTGCAGGAACAGAAACGCTATATCCTGCATTCTGAGCAGTTTTCTGGGGTCCTCCTTTGTTGCGGTCCCCAGTTCAGGACCAGGCTGCTAACCAATCCCCCCCCCCCTCCCAAGACCAAGTTTTGAACAACCGACCCCAGGTTATTTTACTATTTATTAAGCACAGCACGGATACACATGATAAGCAAACTATATTCGAACAAGCGCAGAAATGGAAGAGAAGAAATGGCTATTTTTCATTTTTACTTCTGAGTGATTGAAACGAATCAGTTCACACCATTTCGAATATCATGTTGAATCTCATGCGTACTGCACAATTATGACAATGGCATCCTGCCATCCTGATATTCATCTTGTAATCACTTGTGACTTGTCTGATTCGATAATAGATGATTGAAAATAAGCTGCAGTATATGAAGTTTTGATTTTAATGTATTTATTTATAAATCTTTATACAAACCTGAGTAGTATTTTGCTGTGCCCGGCTTGAACTAGTCGACGAAGCCGAGGTTGTAGCTGTTGATGTTGACGATGTATTGGCATTTGCACTCGAACTTGCTGGTGAATTACTCAAGAAAGTGGCTACTGCGCTTGCCACAACTCTTCCCAATTCGTCTGGATTAAACGAAGCCATCGAAATATCAAATTTTCTGCGTTGATTCCGTTGAAATCGCCCCGGTTGAAACACGTTTCAAATGTTAAGATATTACAGTATTTACAAGCAGCTCAATTTACATAGATCCGCGCGAAATATATGTGACCGCTGACCAAATTGCGCGAATGCTTCATCTTTATTACTGCGCATACCAGCTGCGCATATAATCCAATTCAGAAAATGATTATTTGCAAATAAGGATTATTTAGCGCAATAAAATGATTATTTGTATATAATGATTTTTTGCACGGAGTAAATGTGAATAGAGATGTAAAGACCAATGTTTTTTTGTGAAAATGATTATTTACAAATAAGCAATTTTGTGTAAATGATTATTTATAAATAAACAATTTTGTGAAAATGATTATTTACAAATAAGCAATTTTGTGTAAATGATTATTTACAAATAAGCAATTTTGTGTAAATGATTATTTATAAATAAACAATTTTGTGAAAATGATTATTTGTAAATAAGCAATTTTGTAAAATTGATTATTTATAAATAAACAATTTTGTGAACATGATTATATACAAATAAGCAATTTTGTGAAAATGATTATATACATATAATCAATTTTGTGAAAATGATTATTTACAAACAATCAATTCACATTAGAATACTTATTTGTAAATAATCTTTTATACCATGAGATTCTTTACAAACCATGAAAAAAACAACATGAAAATTTCACAAATAATTTTTTTACATCCGGCGCCTCATATATAAATGCCATTTCAAACACTCATTAATTAATACTGATGAGGAAAAGGCGGCGCGCGAGAAAAAAGGCGGTGCGTGAGAAAAAAAGGCGGCGCGCGAGGGAGGGCGGGAAGGGGAAAGAAGCGGAGCCTCCTCTTTCTTTCTTCCCCTTCCCGCCCTCCCTCGCGCGCCGCCCTTCGCGCCGCTTTTTTTCTCGCGCCGCCTTTTCTGGCGAGCCAATTATTCTCTCGCCGCTTTTCCATCTGCTTTGGCTTTTCATCTACTTTCCTTTCGCGTTCGCGCTGTATTTAGAGACCAAGAGACGCCTGTGGAGGAGGCAGTCAACGTACCATAATATGTCACGTGCAGTGGCTTTAATCCTGATAAAACACTACTAATTAGTATTCTTTATATAAAGAATACTAATAAGGCAGTATCTATTGTAGTCGTGTCCTCATTCGTATTCTTTATATAAAGAACACTAATATGGCAGTATATCTATTGAATTTGTAGTCGTGTTTGAAGCCGTTTAATTAATAAACTCGCAGGTCGGTCGTGTTTTATTAGGTCTAAAGCCACTCGCGCTCGTGTATTTAAACTGCGCGCTCGTGTCTTTAAACCTAATAAAACACTCCTGCTCGTTTATTAAACAGTACATAATAAACTATTTATTAACCTCGCTTGCTCGGTCTTTACAGAGAAATATCGGACCTAGCTCGGTCTTTTTCTACAAACCTCGCCCTACGGGCTCGGTCTGTACAAAAAAGACCTCGGTCCGATATTTCTCTGTAAAGACCTCGCGCTCGGTTAATAAGAAGTTATCAATGAGTGTTTGAAAGAGATTTCGAGCACTGATAAAACTGATATTCTCACATGTGAGATTATTTATGATAATTTCACATGTGAAAATTATCGCTTTTCAATTATCGCTTTTCTGTTAAAATTACCGCTTTTCAAAGACTGCATGTCCTTTATATTATAATCCCCGAGCCGGCGGCGCGAAGCGCCGTGCGAGGGTACTAATTCCGCAGGCTAATTATACTCGGGTATGTGAAAACATAGCGGAGTGCAAAGTTGTCCTCCATTTTGTTTATGTCATGGACGGTTTTCCACGTTATGCGCATGCGTGAGTACAAATTCTATCGAAGTATTAATTGTTTTTCATTTTGAAAGGACGTATTTTGCTGTTTTACAGCAATTTTTTGTTTTAAATTTCGTTAAAAAGTTTACAAAAGTACAACACGGTTTTTTCCTCGATTTTAACTGGAAATAAGCCTGCACTTTCATGAATTAGTGGCTTTTAATTGCTAAGGGGTAATCATGCGGGCATTCCACTGAACAATGGTATCCGCTAAAGCGCTAAACAGCAAAATAAAGTTAATGAAGTTTCGTTTGTCATATCTTATATGCTTGTGCCTAGGTTTACGAGCAAGGGATGTGCTATGTGTTCGCAAAGATGATAAGACCGAAGTTGGCCATGAAAGCTGTGAAAGTAATTTAACCAAGCCTAATGCTTTGGAGTCTTGCAATACACAACCCTGTCCACCTGAGTAAGTTAATATTAACGAATAATTCAATCTGTGACTGAGATCATTTGAGCGATTGAAACCGAAGATGTGGCACAGGGGACACATGTTTGATGCTCGGCTTATACAAACTACCTTTATTTAAACTGGAAACCACTGTTAGTCCTGTCTATTGACAAAATACCTGGAGAAAACCTGCGAATTATGCATGATAGCCACAATAGAAATATTAATTAACCGTAGTTCAATTAAAAAGTTACAGGTACATGTATTATATAAATATAAACAGGCGGATGGAATGAAAAAACAAGTAATAATATTTCTGTACCCTAATTCTACAATATATTGCTATTATCAATTGCTGGCCGTGTTCAGGCTCAAACTATATACTAGATCAGACCAAGTTTTGTTTTCGTTTTGTTCCCATGTTCCCACTGCAAAATTTCCCTTGTTCCTTTGTTCCTTAGACCGGCCAGGAAGTGGTTTGGAATGCAATTCCGAAACTAACAAATGATAGTATGATACACATAATTGTAACTTACAGATGGTACATCACCGCCTGGCAAACGTGTTCCTTGTCTTGTGGAAAAGGCTTTCAACAACGAAGTGTTGTGTGCCGTCAGAAAATAGCTGAAAATAAATGGAATACAATCACAAATGAAACATTGTGTGTTGAACCTAAGCCAGTTGTCTCACCACTGGAGAGAAACTGCAATGAAATTAGCTGCCCACCTGAATACGTAGCAGGACAATGGTCTGAGGTAAACAAGCGGATTTACTGAAAACCAATCATATACAGCCCAAGAAAAACTACTAAACAGTTTTGTGAAAACATTGTTTCCAAGCCATGTTCAGTCCCGATGTTGGGTAAATTAAAACAGAAAACAACTGCAACAAAAGTCACAATTGTGAAATATAGTAAGCATTTTTGTTTCCGCAACCGGTTTTAAATAGCATTTGGGGAAACATTCAAAAAAACATTCCACATCTTTGCCGTCATTCGTTCAAAGTAAATAATAATTGGCAAATTGCTCATTAATTATAATCTTGGTCCTTGGACAAAACGGCTGAGATTATCGGATGAAATTAATGTACATGACACTAACATTAAAACCTAATTGATGAGCGCCTCCTTTCAAGTTCAAAGTTGAGAACAACCTCCAAACAACTTCTGGAATATATCAGGATCTAAATTTAACATAACATGCATATACATGCACTATGGTATACTAGTTTTAAAACTGTATATTTACTTTCTTGGTTTATCAAGAACTAACATGCACGTTAATTAAACTATTATTCTTTTGTTCCTCATTGTTTAAATAGTGTTCAACAACATGCAGTCTTGGCGTGATGACCAGACAACTGACTTGTCAACGACGAACTGCTACTGGTATAACTGAACATCTTCCTAATTTGTGGTGTGAAAACTATGGATCAATCAAACCCTCAATCACAGAAGATTGCAATGATGACTCGCCTTGTGAACGTAAGTAAGCACGACTACATAGTTATGGCAAGGAAGAATACAGTCCAAAAGCCCTTTATAATCCTTAAGGACTATAGTATCTTTATAATCCTTAAGCCAGCTGCTCCTGGTTAGGTCCAAAATTGTATAATTATATTAATCTTCCTCTCGAAATTTTCATCTACAAAAACCCTTCAAATTTCCATTGACTTGACATTCCATCGCAAACTTCAACTTCCAGTTTTTCCAGGACAAACTTCAACTTTTAGGGTTTCGAGAAAAGTTTCTGGCGATGTTAAACTGTACTTCATAGGTGGTTATGGTGTCGTACTGTCGTCAACAAAGACGATGACGTATCGTTGTTGCTATCAAGGGTCAAGTGGTGATCCCATGACAACATCATAAAATTATATAGTTTCCGGCCATCTAATCAAGCTTCATGACAAGCACATGAGTCCGAAATGGATTTTTGGAGCTTAGTTTACTTTCTGCAGTTTAATTTATTAGATTTCTTTCATCTTGTTTAACTGCTTACACCACTTGTGAGTGGACCCCAGTCCGACGATTTAGTCCCGCTATGCAAATATTTTCGTGTTTATTGACTGTGAAAACAATCAATTTCTAAAGAAATGAATGATAATAATTTTGAATTTGCATAGCGGGACTAAATGGTCGGGCAGGCTACGCCACTGAACTCAATTAGTCAAGGTCGACTTCTTTCCAAAAGATATGAATTCATAAATTATAGCCTAATGAATTATATTCGAATCAGCGTATGGGAAATGAAGAAATGTTAAGAACAACAAGCATATAGTCAATTGGGACATGATCTGGAAACTCGGCAAATCCCAAAAGAATCTACAATGTGCTACGATTTTATCGGTTAGGACAGCTTCACTTTGCACTATTAATATTTCAACAGTAGAGTTGGGTGATTCAGCGAGACGATGCCATTGTATATATGACTGTTTAAAATCCATTGTGCCAAAAATTCATAGTCTTCACCGTGCACGTTTGCATATAACCATGAACAAAAATATAGGAAGAAAGACGTTGGTCAGTTTCCTGGCCATATCTTGATTGACTATAATTCGAGTATGTTACCATGTATCAATTGAATTAAAAGATAATTTTGAAGCTTCATTCATAACAGAAAATTTGGAAATTTATTCTTTCATTTCCTTCTACCTAGCTCCACCTGAAAATACTATTGGGTGTTTTGTACTGGACGCGAACATATTTCCAACGTTACTGGCAAACTTCCAAGAAAGCTTAGATTATAATAATGTCCTCGTGACTGCTCGCTCCTGTGCACGACTGGCATTCCATCAAAACTACAGATACTTTGGCCTTGCAAACAACGGGGAATGTCGTGTTGGACCTGATATGAAGTCAAACTTTTTTAAACCTCAAACCTCTTCACAGTGTTCTTCATCCGTTGGGAAAACCGGCGCAATATATGTTTACACCTTGGGTAAGAGGAAGCAGTTTTAGTAAGCGTTATGGAAAGCAACTTCAGAAATATTAACACTTAGGGGCCGATTACATGGAGCATTTTCAACCCCGGAATTGAACTCAGCCCTGTTTACCGGGTTGAAATTTCACCCTGTCTGTAATACAAAACTCTATCAAAATCAAACGCGCGATTACATGACAAAATTTGAGTTCAACCCTGGGGTTGAAATTTCAACCCTGCTTAGCTAGCAGGAGTTAAAATTTCAACCCCTGGGTTGAACTCAGCCCTGGGTTGAAAATTTTGTCATGTAATCGTTTCAACCCAGGGCTGAAATTATCATGTGTTATTCGAGCATACGTGGTAGTGACTATTTATTACAAGAAAACAAAATCAAAGGCTTTTTTACTTCCGCGAATCGATGCCGAGAACGTATAGTATAACGTTTCAACCCTGGGGTCGAAATCGTCCATGTAATCGTAAAAAATTTCAACTCGGTTAACAGGGCTGAGTTCAACCCCGGGGTTGAAAATGCTACATGTAATCGGCCCCTTACATCTCTCAAATACAAGACTACGATATATGAGAAATATATCATCCGCATGGTAACTGCAGGTTGACCACCATCTGCTGCCGGTTGTATAAAGCTCTTAACCGGCTACTTTTTAACTACCCGTTTTGTAGTTAAATTGTAGTTAACTTTAACCACGTAGTTAGTAAGTCGGTTGTATAAAAATATAATTTATAGCGTTAACTGCAGTTAAAAAGTAGTTAAAGTTAATTATGCTCGAGGGTATCGTTAACTTCTCAAAATGTAGTAAAAAAAATGGCGCTTGTATAGGAGTGAACAACATTTTTCAGTAAAACAATAATCAAAAGCAACGCTTATCTGGGATTTTCAATCGCTATCTTCCCTGTGAATGTTTCCTGACAATATACAAACTCTTCAAATGCTATCGCTTTGCCTTCGGTGTTTTTTTTTGCGAAAACAGAATATATTTTGCACAGGAATATTTCTGGACGACGACGGTCGATGTTGGGCCCATTAGACGAAAAAACATATGTAATTGCCAAACAGTTACACTCTGGTTTAACATAGACATCTGAAGGAAAAACGGCCTTCTTTGATTTTTTTCATTCCCGCCTATTTGCAAAATGCGAGTCCACAATCATGTTAAAATGCTTGTCAGCGGTCGTTAATCACTGCTTACTTTATGTAATTGCGTGTTTAAACGCCCCACGCACAGTTAACTACGTGATTAGTTAACTAACCGACTAACTACCGGTTTAAACGTTTTGACCAACGCAGTTAAGTCATGTAGTTAACTATAACTACATTTAAGGATTTGACTATACGGTAGTTAACATAAACTGCATTTAACTTTAACTACGTTTTTATACAACCGGCCCCTGTACTATACATTACCATAAATAATCTATTTTAATAAAGGTTTTTTGACTGATTTATAACTCTCATTTCTTTTCCTTTCTAAAATATAAAGACGAACTACCTGTTATTACCCCAGTGGGATGTTATAAAGACCGAGCTGACCGAGCTATGCCTGTATTTTACAAGAGTTTCCGTAACCAGATAAACTGGTATTCTATGGAAAGTACTGTCAATCAATGCGCTCAAGTTGCATATGGAAGTGGTTTCCAGTACTTTGGAGTGCAATTCTATGGCGAGTGTTGGTCAGGAGCTATGGCAAACGAAACGTACGACAAATATGGTGAAACTACCACTTGCTGGGAGGGAGTTGGCAAAGACTGGACAAATTTCGTGTACAAATTTGATTGACAAGGTATTGGCATTGCATCAACCTCGTACCCAGGGTCCTCCCTGTTGGAGAGGAAAACCCTTTTAGGAGCTGGTCATATGATCTGCTAAAATCTAGCAGATTTTTAATTAGCTTTGTTATATACATTTGGAAGAGAAAATGCAGTAGTTGAGTGACTTTTCCATGTGCACAACAAGTGTTGTTTATTTCCAATAAATGACAAAAAATGATGACATGCAATAACAAAAAATCTGCTAGATTTTAAAACCAGATCATGGAGCAGCTTCTACGAGGATCTTTCCTCGCCAAGAGTAACCTGAAGTTCAGGCCCTAATTTGAAATAGGGCCTGACACAAAACCTGTCTAGACCGTGGGACGCCCACATGTTATTTTTAGACACACATGCAATATGATTGACAAGTGTTGTAGATTTCGTTAGTATCGTTACACAAAAAAATTGTATTCTCATGAACATGTCCGCAGAGTGTGCATTTTGCTTTTTAATTAAACTTAAAAATTCAAGGTACTTTTATATAATTAAGAGTCAGTTTCTCTATTTAACCGAACAGCAAACAAAGATTTAATTAGTCAGTTCTGTGCACGGCTTGACTGCCAAGCTTTCTCAAGGTCTCAACTTGCTGGACGCGGATATACTCTAACGGGCTAACAACAGCAACAATAAATTCTCAATCGTACCACGAAGAAGGCGATGTAGCTCAGAAAACAACGCCGGTAGGACCTGATATTAAAAATAAGACTTTTGCCGGCGAAGCCAGTTGGCAGAACATCTTGGCTGTCAACAACAATCTTTCGAATACATGACTAGTTTGGCTGTTCTTTCAGCGTCGTGTGTGTCCAAAATTCGTCAAAGATTTTGATGAAGCCCTTTCAAAATACTGTTTGTTTGATTTATTTTCTGCCATAAAGCATAAAAGAAAAGAAATTCGAAGAAATCGATAATGGAATTTGTTACGTGCGTTTGAACTTTATATTACATGCAATTCTCGCCTTGAGCCCTTGACCGAGCTATTTTTAAAACTGTTGTTTATGTGAACTTACAACCAATCAAAATCCTTCATGATGCTGATCAACCAATCAGATTTCCCGTCCACCAGGTGGACGGGAATCCCACAGTTTAGATAGGTTTTGTGTCAGGCCCTATTCTGTGATTAGGGCCTGAACTTCAGGTTACGCCAAGAGGGAAGATCCTAGGCACGAGGTTGGCATTGCATAACACCTAGTATATAACAATAGTGCCATCCCGTCACGGCTCAGTCACCACGGTGATCGGATTGTTCCATTGTCTTTTCATTGATTTGGAAATCCCACTGTTCTCCATGCCATCCGGCCGCCAATGGTTTTGACTATTTGTGACGTTATAGCCTAGTGATGCAATATTTATATGTCTTAGATCAAATAGAATCCTGAGAGTGAAAGTCTGGTAGGAAGGCGGAAAAAGGCGGAGTGCGGAATGTGATGCACGGAGTCTTGTTGGTTTTCTATACATTCGATTTTAACTAGATCGTCTCCCACGCTGCTGCTCTTTTTGTCGTACTCCCCCACGAGAAATATTATAATGGCGACATAAATAGCGACTGTGTGATAGTCCAAATTGGAACTTTATCATCACAACTTTTGATACAGCATATATTTCTCTGAGCAAATATTAATGTAGGTACTCATTTCGAACCTCGATTAGGCAATTGATATTCGATTCAATTGAGAAAGGTCCTCACGTTGTTGCAATAACTTCCAGTTTATATGCAATATATTTAGAATCAAAATTGTAAATCAAGTTTACTGTAGTCTTGTAATATGTATTTCATGCACACAACTAAAAAATGTTTTTGCTTATACGAAGATGTTTCCTTTGTAGTCTGATTTGGCCGAGAAATAGTTAAGGATGCACACAGATTACACTACTTATGGTTTCTTTTTTCTTCGTTTACAGAATCAGCCAAGTTACGACGAATTAAACATTAAGACAAGGTATTAATAATTATTGTTAAAAATAACGTTATCTGCAATTCTACAACAAAAAGAGTTTGTGTTTAAACTAATAAAAACACTATTGTATCCTTTAAAATGTTTTTGTTGTTTGGTTAATATGCATAAAAATATATATAATATTCCGTAGTTGTACTGCGCATGTTCTCAATCAAGATTTTTTATGGGAAACTCTCAAGTTTGTGTCTTTGCGTGTGTCACAAATTGTCAAATACACCAAACTCTTATACAGTCAGAATACAAGAACCTTACCACTTCCGCTTCTGTAATCTGTTGTCATTTTCTGTAAATTGTTCTGTAAGTTTCTCTGCAGCGGTCACCAAATTATGAGTAAATATGGCGACAAGATTTGGTTTTCTTTGTTTTATATGATAATTTGTAGCAAAGACTGCATTTTTCGTTGGATTCACTGCATTTTAACACATAAAAGGTACGGAATTGAATTTGACTTTTATCATGGTATTTGTCTATAGATCGGTAACTGTTACAGTAATACAGAACAAATTACAGAAAATGTCAACAGACCAGTTCCTGAATAAATCTCTAAATCTCACTAGAGAAGCGGAAGTGGGAAGGTTCTTGTATGTTGACTGTAAACCAAGGCCAATCGTCAGCCGACAATTTCAAAAATAAATTAAGAAACAGATCAGAAGTAAAATTCCAACATGAATTTCATGATATGAATTAAAGTGCACATGACGAAATTTTTCTCACATATTTTTGCATCACTTGAAAATGATGAAGAATGAATGGCCTTAGCAATTTATTCACAGCAGTCATCTCGTTCCCAAGTTACAGAACATTTTGTAATGACACATTACGTCACTGGATGTGCTTGAGATGAAAGTCTAATATCTCAGAAGTGATTCAACGAAATTAAATGAAGTTTGGTACAATTTGGTAAGTGCACCTACGCAAATATTTTGGAATGTTATGTAGTTGTCATAACAACACAATAGCTATCTAGTTTCTCTCTCCTATTTGTCAAATTCGTTGCTTCCAACAAAATAGAAAGGAATTCTTGTGGTTTGCATTTAGTATTTTCGTTCTTATAGGTGCCGTGGTGAATATAAACAATTCAAGTAAACAATACTTTCCTTCCAAAGTGTCTACAGGAGTCATTATTAAGATAAGGAGAGAGAGACCTGGTTATTAGTGTGTTTCCATGACAACCACACAAATATTGCTTAGCTGTACGTACTCCAACTATACCAAATTTCATTAAATTTCGTTGAATCACTTCAGAAATATTAAACTTTCCTCTTTTTGCTGCCATCTCAAAGTGTTTATGAAATGGAATTTTGCTTCTATTTTTTATTGCATCACTTGAAAGTATGTTCAAATGGTCACAAATGGCTTTTACAGTTTATTCATGTGTATTTTGAGCTATGACGTCATTGGTTGTGCTTCAGTTGGCAGCAAAAAGAAGATAGTCTAATATCTCAGAGGTGATTCAATAATAGTAAAAATAAATTATATTTTGTACAATTAGTAAGGGCGCATATGGTTTTCCTGACAACTGAATAGTTAGAACGTCTTCAGTCTATTTAAATAATGTCTGCTGCAGAAACTTTGCAACGAAGTTTGTTTTAGGGTAATCGCTTAAACTTACCACAATGTCTACATGTACAAGACAATATTAATAAATAGAAATTGCAAAAATTGCATTACATTTTTTAAGCAAGGGATTAAGGAAATGGAAGAGAAGGACCTGGTAGCTGTAAACAACATCGAAGTTTCGACTGACTTTATTCCAATATGAACTCCCTTATTACAAGTTTATTATATTCAGTTAGTTATTAATTATCTTTTACGTAATGTCAACAAGCTACTATAATTAACACTCATTACAGTAGTACTTGCCACGACAACAATATAAACATACCAAAATGTTTGGCTAAGTGCACTTACTAATTGCACCAAATTTCATCTAATTTTGTTGAAGCATCTGTAAGATATTATTAGACTTTCTCCTGTTTGCTACCATCTCAAGCAACCCAAAATACAAAAAGTGCTATAGCTTGGGAATGAGATGAGATATGCATATGCTCCCTTCTTCATTATTTTAAACACCCTTTTGAGTGATGCAATAAAAAATATGGCCGGCCAAATTTCGTTTCATAAACACTCGCACAACCAGTCGCATGTTATGACGCACAAAAAACACAAAATGCCCGATAACTTTGGAAGGAATGAGCTGTGAATAAATTGTAATTAAGGGCTGTTCATAATTTTCAAGATACTTTGAAGTGATGCATAAGAAATGGGTGGACATTTTCGTGTCAACGAGTTCTTGAGACCGTAATCCTTGTAAGCTTTTCCGTTCTTTGCGTATAATTCCCAATGCTGAGCGGGAATTATTCCCCAAGGGAGGGAGGGTTAGTTAATTGTCGTTTTGTGGTTAGCTAGCGGGTTCGCTGCACACTTGATGCATCTTCGGTAAATACTATTGAGTATTTGAAAATTGTCAGCATTCGATGTAAATAGCGCCGGTGGGTAGGTGGGTGCCAGTGCAGGTTTGAGAGACTTTTAGTGGAGGAGGATAGATAAAGAGCGTCAAGAATCGTCTTTGCAGCCTTGTTCTGATGGATTTGTAGTTGATCCATGAGGGTGGCGATGTTCTTATCACCCCATATAATGTTAGCGTAGTCGAATAATGGAAGGATGAGAGAATTGTAGATTGTAAGTCGAGCTTTTAATTGGGCTGAAGACTTTAACTTTCATGTTTCGCTCGCTACTCTGGTTTAAATAAATTACTACAAAGCCCAGTCGAATTGTAATCAAGGCCCAACGTTTCGACACTCCAGTCTAGTGTCTTCATCAGGGGTGATCTAAAGTTGCAATCGTGGCTTCTTAAATACCCAAGGGATGACAAAGCAGATCAAGTGTTGGTATGATTTGATGTCGTTTCCTTGTTTACAAATATCCCAGTTGATCTTGCCATCAAGGTTGCAACAAACAAAGAACATCCTTGCCTGTAGAAGATATTATTGATCTTCTGTCTTTTTGTCTCAACACCACGTACTTTGTGTTTGAGGGCTGTTATTATCAACAGGTTGGAACAGCGATGAGGTCCCCATGCAGTATCGGCAGTAATTGCTAATTTAGTAATGGAAGATGTCGAACAAAGAGCTTTAGCCTCTTAGTCTAGGACCTGTATATGAGTTTGTATGCGTTTCATTTAGGACAGGTAATCTCAACTGTTTTAGGGTAAAATGACCATGGCGGTCAACATGGCATATGTGCCAAAACCTGAATCCGGGACGAAAGTCCTGAAAATGACCCCGCCATGAAACGGCAGTGTCGACATAGCTCTAACTTCCGAAAAGGGAAAGCAATAGCCTTTCTGAAGTGCTTATAGTGTTCAGAAGGGTTGGTTTTAGTGGTGGTCACTGGTAGGAAAAATTTGTCTAAGTATAATATTTTTCAAGAAAATGATCATGCTGGTCCACCCCAGGTAAATTGCTAATTATGCACAAAATAACTAATATGCCTGGCAGAAATTAATTAAATTTTCATATTTCCTAAAAAAAAATTATCATGGGGTGAAAAACTATGCTCAATTTAATATAATTATTGTGGATTTCATAAGGATTATCATTATTTTCATTAAATATAATACATTTAATTTCACTTACCCCCCACGAAAACACGATTTCAGCCATATTTTGCCGTCTTGTTTGCTTTTTATCGCCGAATCTGGCAAATATCATCCAGTTGTTGTACTTTTACATAATCATAAATGGCTGAAGAAGATTTCAAAGAAGGTTTCATCAAGTTTGGAAACAGTGCAGTGTATTTTATCTTCGATGTTGTGTCCTTCGATATTTCGTGAAATATGGCGCCATTGCAATGGCGCGCCGCTTCTCTGCCCGATAAATGCCACTTCTTCGTCTTCCTATGTATTAAAGATTACAGTATCCAGAAGTAATTCATTGTAGAATAGTCCCAATCGAAAAAATGAAAACATTAGTTGTATTTGAAAGGAGAAAACCTCCCAATACAATTGTCTTGTCAGAATTCAAAAGAAGTAATTTAAAAGTCACGCGCAAGTTCGTGAAAACTCCTCGTGGGCTACATGACATGGGGGATGAATATTTTCACGAAACGTTTGTTCGCCACCACAGAAACCTAACTAAATACACTATATTTATTGAATGTTTATGATTGATGATAAAAACAATAAATATTTGCGTACTTTTATCATCAATCTTCATCAATCATAAACATTCAATAAATATAGTGTATGTAGTTAGGTTTCTGTGGTGGCGAACAAACGTTTCGTGAAAATGTTCACCCCCCCCCTGTCATGTAGCCCACGAGGAGTTTTCACGAACTTGCGCGTGACTTTTAAATTACTTCTTTTGAATTCTGACAAGACAACTACTGTATTAGGAGGTTTTCTCCTTTCAAATACAACTAATGTTTTCAATTTTTCGATTGGGACTATTCTACAATGAATTACTTCTGGATACTGCAGTCTTTAATACATAGGAAGACGAAGAAGTGGCATTTATCGGGCAGAGAAGCGGCGCGCCATTGAAATGGCGCCATATTTCACGAAATATCGAAGGACACAATATCGAAGATAAAATACACTGCACTGTTTCCAAACTTGATGAAACCTTCTTTGAAGTCTTCTTCAGCCATTCATGATTATGTAAAAGTACAACTGGATATTTGCCAGATTCGGCGATAAAAAGCAAACAAGACGGCAAAATATGACTGAATATGACTGTTTTCGTGGGGGGTAAGTGAAATTAAATGTATTATATTTAATGAAAATGACAATCCTTATGAAATCCACAATAATTATATTAAATTGAGCAGACTTTTTCACGCCATGATAATTTTTTTTAGAAAATAAGAAAATTTAATTTCTGCCAGGCATATTAGTTATTTTGTGCATAATTAGCAATTTACCTGGGGTGGTGCATGGTCATTTTCTTGTAAAATATTATACTTAGACAAATTTTTCCTTCCAATGACCACCCCTAAAACCAAATCTTCTGAACACTATAAGCACTTCAGAAAGGCTATTGCTTTCCTTTTCGGAAGTTAGAGCAGATGTCGGCACTGCCG